AGAAAGCCTCATCTTTCTTCTGCGGAACAGCTGGTAATTTCAGACTGCTGACCTTGCAGTTTGCAGCCCGATTAGTAACCACTACGCTACCAGAGCTCCTTGCAATGTTAATAGGAAGTGGTAAATAATTTTCACTTTTATATAATCAAATAACATGAAATTTGATGTACAATTTTTTAAAAGCACTCTAAAGTTAAAACTACTTCAAATAAGCATGAATAATAAGCATGCATGTTAAAATAACTGTTGTTTCTGTGTAGTTCTGGTGTAGAGCTGTGGGTTAATGTGCTGGACTGCAAGGTCTGCAGTTCAAGCTCACCAGTTGCTCCTCAGAAACCTATACAGGGCTTCTATGAGTCAGAACTGACTCAATGACGCTTAACAACAACATCCTTATATTGGAGTTCTGGTATGGCACTGTGGGTTAATGCACTGGACTGCAAAGTTTGAACTGTAAAGTTGGCAGTTCAAGCTTATCAGCTGCTCCATGAAAACCCTTTACAGGGTTGCTATGGGTTGGAACAGAGTAGACGGCACTTAACAACAACAATAATCCTTACATTACAATGTTATATGACCAAAATGATTTTAAACTAGTCAATCACATATTGAGGGGGAAAGCCAAAAACATCTATATTCCTTACATTATTTATAGTAGCTAGACTCCCTATCTGTCATACACTAAAATCATCTTTCTTAACAGTTAGCATGCTTATTTACAATAAGGGTCAAAGTTTACACTCTATCCCCAGAGAAGCAAAGTGTCAGACACATGGTGAAGTCTCAGTTTGTACTTGTTGACGGACTGATAGGTTTTCAAGGCTGTGACCGAGAAGCAGATCAACAGCCTTATCTTCTGAGGCATCTCTAGGATAAGTTGGAACACTTAACATTTCTACCACCCTCAGGTTGAGGAGCTCCTCAACCTGAATATTTAGTCACTAAAAACCGTATGAGTAGCAGTGAACACTGTCAACACCAAAATACTGTCAAAGATTGTGCCAAAAAATTAACAACTCAGTTTGGAAAGCATCAAAATGCAAGTGAGAAAGTACAGTTGACCATGATGATACAAATGGAGCAAAGCTTTCAGGACCTTCATTTGCTGATGCGGCACAATTCAAAATGAGGAGAAACATCTGTAAATATTGATTAATAATCAAAGCATGAATATACTAAGTATGAATGTACGAAAATTGGAAGTTGTCAAAAATGAAAAGGAAGGCATAAACACAGATATCCTAAGCATTAGTGAGCTGAAACGGACGGCTACTGCTCTTGTTTAACTGACAATCACATGGTCTATTATGCCAGGAATGACAAATTGAAGAGGAATGACGTCGTCACATTCTTCATCAAAAAAGAACATTTCAAGATCTGTCCTGAAGTACAACACTGTCTATGATGGGATAGTATCCACACTCCTATGAGGAAGACCAGTTAATATCAAAATTATGCACCAACCACTACAGCTAATGATGAAATTAAAGAATTATACCAACTTCTCCTGTCTGAAATTGATCAAACAC